CATTTTGCATCCAACTCATTGTGTAACATTTTATTTGGTGGTATTTGATGGTTTGGGCCCCAGGAAGCTAATGGGGTTCCTTATAAATAAACAAACAAACAAATAAATAAACAAACACACACTTTTCTGCTTTGCCAACATTAGGCTGACTGTTTCACTAATAAGTAAAGTTACAGTAACTGGATGGATGTTATGCTGAGGTATGAAGAATGTCACAGTGTAGGTTTACTCATATAAAATCAAAAATAATGATGATGATGATGAAATATTTTCATACTATGTTTTTATTTAGGAGGATCTGTTTTTGAACTCGTGTCTCTCTCTGCAGCTCTCATTATTATACCCGGTTGTGTTCTGCCTCTGTACCATTTTCCTGGTGGCAGTTCCTCTCTACAGCGACACCGTCAACTCCCTGATCGGCATTGCCATTGCCCTGTCTGGTGTTCCAGTCTACTTCCTGGGTGTCTACCTGCCAGAGTCCAAACGGCCACCTGTCATCACTAAGCTGCTGCGTGAGTGCACTACATGGGAAGCAAGAAGGATTTGTCATTTTCACTTAACTTCACCTGAGTCAACTAACCAACACTGTGTCTGTTTTTTGCAGGTTCTCTGACTGACTTCACCCAGTACACCTGCTTCTGTGTGCTGACTGAGATGGACAAAAGTCAATAGACTCTGTTACACTTTAAAACCCAGGAGTTTGTACATCCTCACAGCCAACAGATGTGGCCTTCAGCTGTATAAAACAAACACTCCTTTGTTGTACTGTCCACTGTCATCTCAGAGTTGTTTACAGCACTGAAGGTGCTGCAACAGATGCACATATTCACCTAAAGATTTTTGTTCTGGGAAAACATTTCCAGGTGCAGTAGAGAGGTGGTTATACAGTTTATTTATTATTAATCCTTATTAAGTTCAGCAGGTAATTTTATATACTATATGCCTTTTAAACAGTATATGCCTTTGAGACTTCACTGGTGCTATGAACATGACTGCAGGGACCAGAGCATAATGCAGGTAAATATTCTCTCCTGGGTTCTAACTAAAAGGTGTGAGTGTGTTTAACATTGATCTAAACTATTGGTCTTATTTATTTTCTAATGAAGAAGGGGAGAAAATACTGCTGCTGCTATTTGAGGACAGTGACTCATCCCTGTAATGTCATTGCCTTTATTTACTCTTGGCCTCATTGCTTGTAGTTTCTTGCTGGTTTTTTTTTTTTCTTCAACCAACATAACATGTTTTCTATGTGTTGAATTCAGTGACTCTTGAGTGTTTCAAGCTGACCAGCTGAGGTGGGTTTAGTGTAATTCACCCTGTTTCACAGTATGAGATGCTGTAAGCCTTTTTTTTTTAAACCCACTGTTGTTATTTTTGAAACATAACTAATATGCACTATTTCTTTTTGTTCTTAATCATGTCCACACAGACACTTTGTTCATTCCACATCTTTAGTCCAGTTGTGGAACTTCTGCACATCCTGTCTTCTAAAGTAAACTATGCTCCAGACATCTTGTATCTCCGAATCTTCATTTCATCTCAAAAGAGAACCTTTTAGTTTCAGATTTGTGCCTTGGTCACATTTGGAGCTTTAGTTTTAGTCCAGTCTGCTAGCTGTTGTTGTATGCACGTAGCTGCTTTATGGCTTTTGAAAACTGTCTGTAAAATTCCATAATTATTAGTTTAAATGATCTGTCCTGTCAAAACCTGACTGCAAATGAGAAAAGTTGCAGAAAAAACAGCTAGCCTAGCTGGCTTACAGATATAAACCTGGGACATTCTGAGTAAACATCACAGAGCGATCACTGTTAAAAAGCAATTTCTCAGTTGTGTAAAAGTAGAATAGCCTGTGTTATTCCTTTCTCCATCCATCCATTCGCTTCTGCTTCTCCTTTTCAGGGTCGCGGGGCGCTGGAGCCTATCCCAGCTGTCATAGGGCGATAGGCGGGGTACACCCTGGACAGGTCGCCAGTCTGTCGCACACAGGGACCGACAACCATTCGCGCTCACATTCACTTGCACATTCACACCTAGTGGCAATTTGGATTTTCCAATTAACCTATTCCCACATGCTGCATGTCTTTGGACGGTGGGAGGAAGCCAGAGTACCCTGCCACGCAAACACGGGGAGAACATGCAAACTCCACACAGAAAGACCCCGGCCTGATGTTGGAATTGAACTCAGGACCTTCTTGCTGTGCGGCAACAATGGCCATCATCTTAAGCAAGATGTAGCGAATTGTGGAATTATATGTAGCAATATCCGTGACTTGGCAAGGTAGATGTTTTATAATAGAGATTGCTTTGTTTTTTTGACAGGGAGATATGGATAAAAGAAGCTCAATTGATCAGTCTAATTCTGAGTACATCAAATACTGCTGTTTAGTCAAAGCGGTTCCTGTCTCAGAGGTATGATCCTGAGACTGGTTTTATCCCAGGAATATAAAGGGTGTGTCTGTGTATGTGACATCTTTTGCCTGGCTTGAAAAACACCGGGAACATTTCATAAGCAAAGCATTCAGTCTGTTCAGGGTCTTCCATTTTGAAATTAGACTAAATGTTCAGCAGACGTCCTGCTGTTTCATCTGCTCTGTGCAGCTTAAAGTTGGTTTCATTAAGATTGATTAGCATTTATAGTTAAATTTTCAGTGGGCCTGATCAGCTCCAGCAGCTGCACAGTCCAATCCTGTTGTGCCCTGTTTAGCCTCATAGCTATTTTTGACTCACTGCATTTTAACATTAAACCACATGTTTTCGACTAGCAAATGTAAGCAACTAAAAGCAAAATGAGAAATTGAGTGAAGCAGGACAAAAATTACAGGATGAGCGTTAGATATACATTCTTTAGTATTTTAAACCATCTGTTTTTACTCGATTTCTAATCCAGATGTTTATAATTGCACTACAGTATAGTGGCTGTTCATTTGGAGACTTTTCTAAGCAATCAAAATGACTGTCAGGAATTTTTGAACAAGTTATCATAATATATAGTTATTAATCATTATTTTAAATCAACAACATTACGTTTATGGCGCAGAACAAAAGCACAAACGGTCATGTTTATTTTCAAAGCTTCCAGGTGTTATCAGGATACTTTTACATGAATTTATGAACTGTCATAAAATGTTATGCATGCTACATGTAGTCTGCTACACGTAGCATTCATAAGATGGGATTTCTCTCTTGGCTTATATTCCGTCTAGTCTCAGCTACACAACATAAAGAGTAAAAGGTTATTTTTGGAAAGGGAAGTAGAAAGCTTTCTAAGCAACTGGGGTAATTGATCTAAATTATATTTGTCTCCACTGTTATTGTCATCATCATCACTGATGTCATGTTCACCATGGTAGTCGAGCTACTGGAACATTTGCCTCAGGTGGTACTGCATGAGCTGTACAGTTCTGATCTAATGAACTATGGGTATTGTATTGATTCTGTTCTACTACTGATCTCCTCTTACTGCTGCTTTCCTCCCTTTGGTGATAACCAGTGTTGGTCAAGTTACTTGAAAAAAGTAATCAGTAACTAATTACAGATTACTTCCCCAAAAAAGTAATCCTGTTACATTACTGATTACTTATTTTCAAAAGTAATTAATTACTTAGTTACTTTTTCACTCACTTAGATTTCAGCTCACTTAGATTTGGTCTGCTGAAAACGCTGAAGTGACAAGCTGGATTGTGAGACTTTATAAAGATGACACAGTGTACAAGAACATCTACTGGATATGTTTTTTTTTTAAATTCTTTATTTCTAAACTATTACTTCACGAAGGTGATTACAGGCATTAATCAACACAATTTACAAGGGAAAAACAAAACAAAATGAAAGAGAAAGAAAAAAGAGAAAAGGAAAAAAAACAAAACAGTCGGGAGTGACCAATTAGCTAGGTTGCTGGTTTCAAGGTTTGAAAAGAAGATTTGGCTGCTGTACATATAAATAAACTGTTTGCCTCTAAAATGCTGCATCATACACAGTTAACCATGAAGTTTGCTTCATAGTTAACTGCGGGAGTAGTTGGATTATGATTTGAAGCTGAAGTCTTTCCTGTGGCCAGGTACCTGTTCCTCAGGTAGGGTGAAGGGTGCTGCATGATGTCAACAAACAGCACTTCTTGTTTACCAAACCTGAAAGATTTTAACATGAAAAACAGCCAAAATGACAAATGGCAGCATAATCTATGATGAGATGAAACAAAAAAAAGCACTTTTCTTTCACTTTTTGCAGATTGCAGCTGTACTTGAGATCAAATACCTTTTATTTATATAGCAGTAAAACACAACAACGGTCATCTCAAAGCACTTTATAGTGTGAGGTTAAGAGACCTCGACAATCAGTTGTGCAAACATAGCCAGACCATGCAAAGGTATTTTAATCTGAAAATAAATTTGGTTCACATGTCCAGAAATTGTTTAAAAAACATAACAAACAAAACAAAGGAACATTTCCAGTTTTTAAATGACAAGAATGTGGTGAGAAAACAGTAAAATGATTCTGTTATTAACATCATATTAACATCAAGAGTGATACAGCTCACATATTTTGGTACATGAGCTGTATCTCCATTTTGAGCAAGTTAATCACAAGATCACAGTAATGCCACCAAGTTTTTGTTTTTGTATGAACTTGTTCTATTGTTGCTTGCACTTACAATAATTCAGTAATCCTATATTAATATTAATATTAATACGTATACTATACTTAAATACCCCAAATGTTCTTCAAATAATATAAGACAAAAACACTTTATTTATTCCAAAACCTAAGACAATACCTTGTTACAGCAGCCAGTTTAAGAGAAAGTACAAAAAAACTGAAATCCTCAAATCTATGTATTGTATGTACTGTGTATTTAATTGGATTACCGTGTTGAAATATAACATCTAGAAGCAGAACTACATAATGCAAGAAATGCAGTTATAATAGTAAAAGAATACAAAATACAATGCAAACTCCTTGTGTTTGAAGATATTGGCATGTGTCTAATGGAATATTCATTGCTAGATATTTTCATGGGAGTACTGAAAGGATGAACAGATTACCTAAGTGTAAATTTAAAAAAAAAATATCTAAAAACTGTTTCCATAGACTGTATGCACACATACCTTTTTTCTGCCAAGATAAATTATGAGGGCAAAACCACTGATCATAGATACAGCACAGCCTACATATCGAATGGCAGTGAGTTCCAGGGGCTGGCGCACTGATCGAGACTTCAGGTCCTACAAGTGGACAGTGCAATGAGCAGAAAAAGGTCTTCATACACAAAAAATGCAACACAAACCCCCCACCCCCACCCCATAAGGTTATGGTGTAACCTTGATTCTCTTAGTCAGAGACTATCTCTCCACACTGTTACATATTCCATATGTACGGGGTACGACCACCCTTGGTCTGCAGACCCCAGACTGGCCTGAACCAGTCATGCAGGACGCAGGACCGCAAGTGATTGGTCGATCAAGGTCAGCCCGGGAACCGCAAAGCAGACCGCCAGGAAGCGCAGCACACCGAGCTGCCAAGTAGCTGCCCCAGCACTGTCACTACGTGCTGTCCGCAGACAGGAGCTTCAAGAGTGAACTCGCAAACGAAACACTCGAGGTCAGACACGAAGTCCCAGCTCACTGGGTGTCCCCGTGCTGGCCATGTAAGCCCGTGACACACCGGCAAAGCACCAGACAGGGAGCCAGCATAGCAGGTTGGGGAGCTCGCACTCACTGGCCGAAGTTACACTCGGCTGGAGAACTGTCACTCGCCCCAGCGAGGTCAGACTGGCATGAAAGCCAGCAAACGCGGGCAATACGCCTGGGGAACACAACCTACCAAGCCACTCGTGCACAGCAGCTGGCTATCGCCGTGACCGAAATCCGCGATATGCGGATGACGCTCCAGTCGGGAAGTTGTAGCCAAGTCACAACAGATCCCCGCCCAGATCCCTGCCTGGCACTAGGCAGTGACAGTGCCAGGGAGAAAGAGCCTCTCGGCCACTCAGTGGATGGCTGAGGTAGGACGAGGCCCAGGGCCTGTCCCAGGAGCTGGGCAGCCGACCTGCACCATCCACGACAGGGGAGGGGCTGGTGGCTCAGGCCATTGAGGGCCCAAGTGAGGAGCGACCCAAGGTTCGCCAGCAGGGCATAGCAGCCACTCTGAGCCATCCGTAGACAGGGGGCCAGCAAGAGTGGGCCTGACGAAACACTGGCGGACAGTCGAGTGTCAAGTGTCAGCTCACTGAGCGGCCAGGGGAACACAGCCCGCAGCAGCGGTACAGCTGCAAAGACGAAGGGCCAAGGCAGGGATGCGACTCACCAGGGGTGTCAGCTCACTGAGTGGGCCCTGCTGGCCACGTAGACCCACAACAGTCGGGCAATCTCCCAGACAGAGAGCCAGCGCCGCAGGCCGGGGAACTGTCAACTGCTGGCCGGGCCAACTGGCGTATAAACCGGTGTTCCCCTGGCAATATGCCAGGGGAACACAGCCTTCAGCAGTCCTGGCCATTAGGCCCAACTCAAAAGATGTCAGGAGGGAGGAGGGTGGCTGGAGGACAGCTGAGCCTAGGCTCCGAGGTCCTACCCGCCTCAACTGTACACGGCTGTCTCCACACACCTGCATAGGCCCCTCAGCACAGCGAGGTGGCTGCAGGGTAGACGGGCAGTCCCATCAGGCAACTCCGGTCGTCCAAGCATCATAAACATCAACCTCCTGACAATCAACCTCCACCAGCCCAGGCCTCACAGAGGCGGGGCCATGACATGGGTCACTGCAGCCATCATCCCCATTTTAGCCTGCTCTCCTTAGAGGCACAGGATGGGGGAGGCTCACCATGTCCCCAGCCTGCCTGCAGCTGTCGTGTCAAGCTCCATCCCTATAAAGCGAGCGACAAAATGGCCACCAGCAGGCAGCAGTTACCCTCACGCCCTTGTAGGGCATGCCGCCCTGCAGATGAGGGCCCGAAGGGGTATCCAGAGGGACCAGGGGCAGGGCTAAACGCTACTACTCGCGCCATGCATGGCAGCAACCAACTGCGGGAAGGGGACCATAAATGCTGCAACCAGACCAATCAGGCAGCAGCAGCACCTGAGATAGGAGGCGCTATGGCTGCATGATAGCATCAACTTTGAGGTCCGCTCTACTAGACGGGACACCAGGAAGGGCAAGTTGCCACAACCGGCATGCTACAATCAAGAGCTGAAGGGACCCATCTCGCCCAACACTGACCCTAGGGATCAGCAGGGGGCAGCCCAGGGAGAGGTGGGCAACACCGGAGGAGAGGATGGAAGCTTCTTCAACATCCGCCGCTTGATAGTCAACCTCCACTGGCCCAGGCCTCACAGAGGTGGAGCCATGGGAGGGATGCTGTGGGAGGGGCCAGCAGTAAATCAGCACCAGTTCATGGTCACGCCGGGCGTGCCGGAGTGTCTTAAAGAAATATCCACACGCCATGACCAAGGGGGGTCGTACCCCGTACATATGGAATATGTAACGGTGTGGAGAGAAAGTCTCGATATGCTAAAGAACATCTATTTTATATCTCTTTAAAACGACTTAGTACTTCTAAGCACCATCTCATTACTGTTTTTATTGTTGTATGAAAAGCAGTGTCTCACCACCAGGACAGTGAAGTAAGTTGTAAGGTTACACAGACACACAGTGTGTTTTTCCCCTTTCTGTTGTGTCTCACATCCATCATTTGACCAGTTCACCTGCAGAGAATCTGCAACAGGAAAATATAAATCAGTTAAAGCTCATTGGCGGAAATTATGGGAAAGAAAATTGGAAATACAGATAGATAATTAATAATGTCAAATACAGTGGGGCTTGCAAAAGTATTGGCCCCCCCTTGAACTTTTGTAATGTGACAACATTTTGTCACATTACAGCCACAAACATGAATCAATTTTATTGGAATTCCACGTGAAAGACCAACACAAAGTGGTGCACACGTGAGAAGTGGAATGAAAATCATACATGATTCCAAACATTTTTTACAAATAAATAACTGAAAAGTGGGGTGTGTGTAATTATTCAGCCTTCTAGTCAATACTTTGTAGAACCACCTTTTGCTGCAAAGACTGATTTATTTAGTCTTTTAGGGTATGTCTCTCCCAGCTTTGCACATCTAGAGACTGAAATCTTTGCCCATTCTTCTTTGCAAAGCTCCAGCTCAGTCAGATTAGATGGACAGCGTTTGTGAACAGCAGTTTTCAGATCTTGCCACAGATTCTTGATTGGATTTAGATCTGGACTTTGACTGGGCCATTCTAACACATGGATATGTTTTGTTTTAAACCATTCCATTGTTGCCCTGGCTTTATGTTTAGGGTTGTTATCCTGCTGGAAAGCACCCCCAGAGCATGATGCTGCCACCACCATATTTGACAGTGGGGATGGTGCGTTCAGAGTGATGTGCAGCGTTTTGCATTTT